AGGTTCGTAATCTGGTTCGACAATCGGTTGACGGTAGCTTTGAGTGAGGCGTTGTCTTTCGTCATGGCCTGCATGTCCGAAAAGTTGACCAGCGAGTCAATCGTAGCTTCAAGGAGAGGGTATGGATCCGGCGCCTCCGACAGCGTTGAGTATAACGACAAGAACGCCGTCTCTGTCGCCTTCTTGGACGTTGTTAAGTGGTCAATAAAGATCTGGTACGCTACGAGGGCTGTCAGCGGGACTCCGGAATTGCTTCCCCTTCTTTTGCAAAGCGCGTACATTTAAGCAAGCCTTTCCATTCCTCCTTCTTCTGCTCATCATCAAGCTTCCGGTACTCTTTCGTCTTCTGCGCTAGCTCTTTCCGTTCCACCAGACTCTCCCGTTGACCATTCACGATGTCGCCCGCGGCTGAGTCGAGCGATTTTTGGAGGTGGGTAAGGTCGATGTCTGTTGGGTTAGCAAATAGGCGGCTTCTACCGTTATGGAGGGTGCTGTAAATATACTTCTCCAGGCGCTGATTGCGGTCTGAAATGCACTGGTTTGGGATGACACGGCATCATCGCTGGATTTCCGAGCTACGCCGTTCGCTGATGCTGTAGCATTGCCGGCGGGATTGGAATCGGTAGAGTTGCGGGCCAGCTCAGACGCCATGGTTGCCGATCTGATGGGTTCCCACTGGAGGCGAAGGTGGTTGGTGGGTGGGTCAGATGCTGAAGGCGATTGTGGTTGGCAGAGCAAGCAAGAATGGTAGTTTGAAAGAGCGGCTTAAGTGGGGGTAGTAGTCCACAGCTTTGGGGAGAATGAAAGAGTGGTCTCGGTGGTTGGTCGTTGAAGCTAGGTTTGGCCTCATCAGCTCTGAACTCGCAAGGCTAATTTACCCGGCTTTGATTGGTCAGAGCTCTCTGAACCGCCAACTCCAGAGTTGTGCTTTGCTTGTCTCCGCCAAATCGATCACCGTTGCTCCCATCTCCGATACCCCCGCATTATGGCGCCTGCCGCAAGGAATGGGCGCCCAATGGGACCCTACATGCTGCAGAATCTGGTGGATGACCTACCCTTGGATACACCTGAGAGACATGATGTTACAATCACCTGTCTCGAATCGTGGGGTGAATTCCTACCTACACCTACACATACAACTTTGGAATTTGCCAACGCTAACCAGTTAATTACTTGGTTCCAGGCCAGAATCTATACGTTGGAACATCCGCTCACGAAATTCTTCATCTGGTGTCCATACCTTCAACCCCGAACCCGGCTTCCCCTCCGAAACCCGTCTACATTCTAGCTTCGCGACTACAACCCCAAGCTTCTAGCACCTCCGGTTCGCCTTATATAAAGCAAATATCGGTCCTTCCTACGGTTTCAAAGGCGCTGGTTCTGTCATCTACCGGGTTACTAACATTCTATACCCTTCCGGAATTCTCACCAGCGTTCGGTGGCACTAAACTGAAGGATGTCTCGTATATCGGCGGCATGGATCTTGACGAGCAAGAACGAGATGGAGTACCCGACGAGGGGTTCACTGATGGGAAGCCAAAACTTGTCATGGTCCACGCAAAGACCAAAATACGCATGATCCGGGTGGGAGAGGAAGCGCGACTTGTGAAGGTTGTCATTGAGTGCGCGGGTCGCCAGGCGCGCCAGCTAACATTGTTTAGGACATACCGCTCCCAAATTCCCTGGAATCTGTACGGCGTGGCAGCATTGCGTGCGTCGCGACTAACCAGAACTATGCCCTGTTGGATGTGGAGAACATACAACGAATACCTCTGTTTCCTATTGCTACAACCTCCGAATCCGAACCAACTGTCGCCGGGGAGTCTTCTGCTACCGCATCGGGACTCCCCGAAGCACCTGCTGCGGGCTCCAGCCCAGCACCTTCCACATCACTACTACATCCTCCCAGATCGTCATCCCTTACCACCGGCCGCGAAAGACGAAATAGCTCGGCAACGGTTGCCCGCGAGAGCGCTACAGCTACCAGCCATAGCAGATCAGTCAGTGCCGGGAATATAGTGCGTTCACCAAGTCTTGCCGAGCGCGGAGGCCGAGGAGGCATCCCCAGACCAACTTCAAGACTTAGCCATTTGTCAACGACGCCAGAGTCTGGCACTCCGACGTCAACTTCACCGACTTCCCCAACAGTATCTCCCGCAGCCTCACAGAGACCGGCGGTCGGCGGTGGTCGAAGATCACCGGCATCACCAGCTCCGGGTTCGCGAGTCTCTTCACCGGCGCCGCCACCTCCCCCGAAAAGTCCTGCACCCGCACCGCACCGCCCGCTAAGACCAAACGTTGCATCGCCTTCACCGAATGAGTTCTTATTGACCACCGGAACAAGACCAGAAGACCCAGGAGTGGGAATGTTTGTGAACCTGGACGGAGATGTAACGAGGGGCACGATGCAGTTTGAAAAATATCCAGACCAGTTGATGGTTCAGGGAAGTTGGGTGATTGCGGTGATACCTGGCAAAGGTTTGGAAATGCAAAGATGGGATCTGGGGGATGAAGGCGTTTTGGATGAAGCGGATCGAAAGGGCAGTATACCGTTAGAGGGGGATATTCAAGTAAAGGAAGTCATAGCTTTGGAGGGAACTTTCGTGGCAGATGCTGGCCAGACGTTACAACTCGTCCGAGTTGCACTGAAATCAAATCAGGCTGATGTTGGCGAATCTCCGCAAGACAAGAGAAGGAACGAGGAAGAACGAGGGATAGCTCAGCGTATCTCAAGGGTGGAAAGCAAGGTTGTTGTGTTTTCTGGCCGAAAAGTATGGACTTTGCTTCCTTGTCCTTTGGCAATACAGCTCGATTCACGACTTCTGAACTTTTCAGACGAAAATTTTGATGGCATCGTTGCTAGAGTGCGGCGTGTTCTCCATGTGCTTGAGGAGGTACAATCGATTGAACCGAGTACCGAAACGCAATTTCACGAAGTGTCATTCGTCAGACAAAAATGCGGACTGCTGGTTTTGGGAGAACTTTTACGGATTACACAGAAGCAGACAACCGACATCGCCGCGGACGAAATTATGAAAGTGGAGGTGGCATTGGTGGAAAGCGCGTTAGACCCTAGGTTCATTGTTGCACTCTTCGGGGATGCGTTTGAGGAGGACGTTGTTGAGAGTGATCGAGGAGTATGGGTTTATGGCGGGATTAAGGAAGTGTTTACAAGCCTGAAAAGCTCAAAGCAGGTGGGGAATATCTTCACCAGGGATGTGTTGTTGTTGTTGAAACGTTACCTTGCGTCCTGGAGAAGTAAGAAGGGCTTCGGCAGCGTGGCGGATGAGAAGGATGTTTTTCTCACAGTTGATGCTGCGTTGTTAAGGGCTTTGTTGATGCTGGACTCGCCACAATTTCTGGTGGACAGGGGAAAAACCGTTGTTCAGGAAGGCAACGTCAGGACGGAACTTTATGCCTTGATCGACGCTGGCGTTGAAAATCTCGAAAGTGCTGTTCATGTGCTCGAGACTTTTGGAAGACTCTATGTCCTCAGCATTCTTTATTCAAAAGCGAAGATGTATCGGAATGTATTGGTCACCTGGAGACGGATATTAGACGGAGAAGACACTATGGGGGAGTTCGACCAGGGCGAAGAGAGGGTCAAAAACTACCTCCTCAGGTTGAAAGAACCTGAACTCGTCGAGGAATTCGGCTGCTGGCTGGCCGCCAGGAATGCACAACTGGGAATTCAAGTCTTTGCCGCCGAGGAGGCGAAAGTCAAATTCGAACCCTCAAAGGTTCTAGAGATGTTTCGGGAACATGCCCCCGATGCTGTCCGTCCCTACGTCGAATATCTCGTGGTCAAGAAAAAGGTCATTCCCCTCCTCTCCCATAACAGGCCGGCAGCATTTAACCCTGAATAGAACTCCGCCTATACAAATGAACTCATCTTTCTCTACCTCGACGACCTAATCACCGCCCTCTCAGAACCTCAAGCCTCTGAAACTCTCCAAACCTCATACGAATCCTACCGCGCCCTTGAAAGTCCAAAGCCCACCTATCACGAATTCGTTGTCGATAACTCGCCTCAGGAGGCTTCCGCATTATGGTGGCACAATAGGATGCGCTTGCTCGAGCTTCTCGGTGAAGAAAGTGGCTACGATGTGACCAAGGTCTTCAACATCGTAGAGAAATACCGCGACGTCCTTGTACCCGAAATGGTTATCCTCCACGGCCGCTCCTCAGACCATGCCTCCGCCCTTAAGTTACTCACGCATAACCTGAAAGACTTTGACACTGCAATCAACTACTGCCTCCATGGCGGATTGTCTATATCCCAGACGCGCACCATCATCACCGAAAGAAAGGAGCAGTGCGAACTGTTCACTATTCTCCTCAATGAATTTTTGAAACTTGAAGATGTTTCGGAAAGGATCGGACAGACTTCTAATCTGTTGAACAAGTTTGGAGGCTGGCTGGATGTTACCCATGTGCTCAGCGTAATCCCGGACTCGTGGAGTATCGAGATTTTGAAGGGGTTTTTGATCAGCGCGTTGAGACAGCTGGTGAGGGAGAAGGCAGAGGTGAGGGTTGAAAGAGCCTTAGGGAGGAGCAAAAATCTCAGGGTTGAGGCAAAGTTTGTCGAAGCGTGCGACGAAATGGGGCCGGTGGTGGATGTGGGGAATTAGATCGTGGCTGTGGCACGAAAGTGAAGGGACGGGAGGGGTTGTTTATATATGTGTATCATTTCTTTGTTTTTGGCGTACTATGGAGTTTAGGGGCGAGGAAGCAATTAGATGGTCAATAAGGTTGGATCGGGCAGTTAGTCTGCTGCCGCCTTCTTTTGGGTGCTGCTCAAGATGTTTGATCGATATTAAGATATCTTTGGATTGAAGTCCATCGAGTCTTTCCTAAGTCTGATACACACACTTTTGAATCCACCCACTAGTCTCGAATGTAAAGTGTAACACGTAGTCTGTCACAGCTGAATACAGCCAAAAAAGGAAGATCGTGGTGGGGCCCAACCCCATCAAAGGGAAAACCACCAAAAAGAATGATGCTGACAAGGAGGTTCGAACTCCTGAATCTTTCGATAGTGGGTTGCTTAAGAAACTTAAGTCCACCGCCTTAACCACTCGGCCATATCAGCTTGGTGACCGTAGTTCCGAAAAGCAACAATATGTACCACAGTGTCCTTGTAATACGTTCTTGGCAAAGGATGGCTGTTCGCGCTGCTCCCTAGAGTAGGAAATTCGGCATGGCTTCTTGAGTCGTGTTTATTGTTTTCATTAAATAGCTGGGTTGGGAAATAATATTTGGTTGCTGAGCTTGTCACTCGACTCGAAATCACTCGAAAACGCCAGCGCATTTCATCTTGATTCCGCCTCAACGAGGACGTCGACTGCTTTGGTTTTTGTTCTCGATCTCCCTCTTTCCACTCACCCACGGCCTCCCATATATTTCCCAAATCAATAAACTCCCCGCCTGTCGCTCCTTACAAACATTGCCAGTAATAGTCGGCCTTCTTGGTGCATGTAGTACTGGTTTCACACTTTGTGGGGCCGGTGTAGGCGAGACCTCCACATTGCTCGTTCTACTTGGAGTTAGTAAAGATGATAATACGGGGGTCTTGGAGGGGGGTACTCGTTTAGCAAGCGGCATGGCGAGGATTTTGGCCGCAGCGTGTTCGGCGGCGACGAGAATGGGTGCCGAGGGGTTGGTGGAGGTAATGCCGGGGAAGATGGAAGCGTCGACAACGTGCTATTATTGTTAATTATCTACCGGTGCTCTGAGGAGCAGAAGGATTTACGATGTTTGCAGTGCCATAAACCTTGGTGTTAAGATCCACCACAGATCCCGAGGTACCACCCAGCTTGGTTCCATCATCAGTTCCCAGTTTTGCGGATCCAACCCAGTGGTTGGCGCTCTGGTGGACGAAGGCATTGACATATGCCTCGGTTGATTGGTCGGCGGTGGGCTTCAGAAGCGTGATGGGTGTGCCATTTCCGCTCCATCCCTTGATTGTGGTCAACAGGTTGTCGACTCCCTTGATGATTGCTGCTTTATCCGCGGCCGTATTGGCGTACGGCAATATGCCAACTGTCATACCCAGGTTGCTCTTGATGGTAATACGGCCACGGCTGGTGAGGCCCATGGCCAGGTACTGGGAGATGGTGACGAGAGTGTTGCCGGATTGGCCGAGTGAGCCTTCGGCACGCGCGGTCCATTGGAGTTGACGGGTTATGCCGTCGGTACCGACAACTTGGTCGAAGAGAACGAGAGGGATACCTGGAGCGGCGTTGGCGAGAACGCCGGAGCGGCTATTGAGATAAGCATCTCTATCCGCGGGGATTGGGTTATTGTAAGCTCCGTAGAAATCGTAGTCTTTGACATTGGGGTGTGATATCACGAGATCGGTGTTGGTGTGATCGATGACATTGTATCCCACGGGGGAATTGATCCACCACTGCTAGCGGTTAGATTTCATGGTAGTAGAATTTGAGGTAAGAGAGTGTAGAATACTTTCTGATCGATCATGGAGGATCCGTCCACAGCAGAGGTCTTCACAATCTCAAGCTGATCCTGCGGCCCAATACCGGAGCGAAACAAAATTTTTGCAGTACCAAATGCTCCAGCCGAAAGAATTACTTTCCCTCCAGGCTTGAGATTATATATACCAGTCTTTCCCTCACTGGACTTGGCCCACACTTCAACTCCGGTGGCAATGCTCCCAGAACGGATGACACGTCTAGTCATGGTGTTCATGACCAATTTGAAGTTCGGCCGCGCCTTAGCACTGACCAAGTAGGTAGCTAGGGGACCTCCGCGCTCGCCATTGGAAAACATGAACGGAGCGTGACCGTAGGTACGGTTCTTAGCGTTGGGGTTCGAGTTGATGGCAACTTCCTTCCATCCTGCATTCTTGACGGCTGCTCCCAGAATGCCGTATGCCTCTTGGATATATCTCTTGCCATCTTGCGAAGGCGTGTCAGTGCTTGGAATCCGGGCGAACAGACGCTGTTTGGCGGCAGCAATGTCGGATGCCTTCCAACCGGCGGGGAAGTTATAGTCCCAGTCGTGATCCGGGGGAGCGAAGAACATGCCAGCGTTGACCGCCGTACCACCACCAAGAACACAGCCAGACATGTAGTCAACATCGTCACAGCGAATGCCGGTACTGTTCCTCCAAATCTCGTTGCAAAGTCCAGGAACGTCGAAGCGAGTGAGACTCTTTCCATTGAGCCAAGCAGGGCCAATTCCTGGTTTTCCAGTCAGTTCTGTATTATGAATGTGTGGAAAAAGTGTCCGTACTTCCGCCATGCGCATAGGTGGCTGGAGGACCACGCTCAATGAGAATAACACTCGCTCCAGTCTCGGAAAGTCTGTCGGCGGCGACCATACCACCAGCACCACCGCCAACGACAATATAATCGGCTTCACCCAGAACTGTTAGGGACTGCGCAGCGGCAAGTCCGGCATACGCCCCAAGGGCGAGGACGGAACACCTCCAAAACATTCTGTGAAGCCGCTATGGAACCACACAGCGTAGACACCGTCTAGCGAAAGAATGAATGAATTGAAGTTCGCTTCCAAATTTGCGATAAAGGATTGAATGCCGCACTTTCCGTGTGGCTCGTTGGAAGGACTTGAAGTCTCCTTGAATACGGCAAAAAAATGAGTGGGAGTACATAGTGGGAGTCTGGTGGCTTTATACTCATTTCTAGTAGTTGAATTGATTGAACTGAAACCTAGAACCCCGAGGATATGCCGGACAGGGGTTAAAGGGCCAGAAGTGGAAATGCTTCCGCAGCGATGTGTACCATCAGAATATGCGGTGGCATGAAGGCCCTGCGGGTTGGCGTGCCGACTTGGAGAGACTGCGAATGAAGTTGCTCTTTGGGTTTGAGAGCGGGCGGTAGCATCCGGTACACTGGACAAAGGTCACATGTGGACAACATTACTCAGAATTAACATATTCTGTTCCTGCAGTAGTCACAGAAGTCATATGGAAGCTGGTTCAAGAAGTTGTCTCAGAGGCTGGGAAAGCGATTTCGAAATCATCCTCTAGAACGGTGCGCTGCCATGCATACGGCCATACCTTGGCCCTCAACATAAAGCTTATCCATGCCTTCGTCCTCGTTATTTTCCTGAACAACGGCATACTAAGCGAAATGCATGTGTTTCAGATATCTAAACTCAATACGTAGCTACCCTGTCACAATCCCTTCTTTAGACTTCCATGCACGCTGTGAGCATTCGATATCAAGAACCTAAGACCGAAGGAGAACCCTACGGTCCCTACCAATACCCAACAAACATGAATTCATGATTAAACAATTCCAATTACAAACCGTCATGATCAACTATACCTAGCTGGGCCATTAGATACACTCTGATATTGACAGCTCTGATATTGACAGCTCTGATATTGACAGCTCCAGCTCTGGTAACAGGCATCTATAAACAATGACCATTCGATTCTCGCACAATGTCGTTGCCTAGTTGGCGGATACAGTTTTTTGGGCCCACGATATTACGAGCACTCTCAGAATGAAGCTGTAGCACCACATCTATATCTTTTTTAGAGGTAGTTGGCATTTTATGTACTCTATACAGGGCGAGAAACCAGATCATCGGGGCAGAGTTGGAAACTCACATTTAATCTAGATCCCTATATATCCAACAATTTGCTGAGGGTATTCACTTAGTATTACCCGTGATTACCATTCTGGATATCTACAATAGAAATATAGTGCTAGTGTAGCTGTACAAAAGGTCCCCGCATGCACTCGCAGGTCTCCAAAGTACGGGTACATCGTTGACCCATTCGATTCTTTCGTGACAATGGCTGCGCCCTTAAATGCTCTCTGAAGATAAATCCAACCAAAATTCAAATGTCACGCCGATATTAAGCCCAAGACGATCAGAGACCGAGTATATACACCTCACCAAGTGAAACATGAGTGGTAAACATTGCAAACGCGCGCCGATCAAATTCTGGCAGTAGTATGTCGTTCTCCAGTATGTATTCGTCAGTCTGAGCCTTTACACACTCTATTTAGGCCATATTTGGTGAGGTTAGATGGGTAGTATGGTGTTGGGTTTCCATCAAAAGGCCTACTTCATGAATGATCACTAAAATCCCAACGATATGCGTTGTTGCAAATAGATACTTGATTGACTTGATTGATTGTATCTATCGAGGCTACAAGGCCATGTATATATACAATAGGCTTGCGTACGTATGCGTACACCCTCGTCTATAAGCTCGTATCCATATGCCCCACAGTATGCCCTATAGCCCTACAGAGGCCGACCTTCTAAGTATACATGTAACATGCGTCATACAACCCAGTCAAATTAGGCTGCCTAAAGGCGCTATCAAGTTATCCAAGATACCTCTGGCATGTTTTCTATACTTTGTCTAGAATACATGGTTTGTAGGGATGTATGTGATGAACAGAGATCGATTTTAGACCCGTCCTGCAGCTGTGCCCGGATAGAATTACCGTAGAATAGCTGCAAGTCCACACCGTTATGGTCGGTGCCAATATGTCACAAGAGCTATGAAGTTAGCAGTGAGAGGATAACAGGAAGGAACTGCAGCTGTCACTAGGCCCCTGCATGATATTAAGGGCGGATAAACATGCGATTTCTGCCATCTTCGCGGCATTGCAGGATCGATAGTAAGCATATTATCATTGCATTCGCGTCCCATGATCTGAGGAAGGATACTGCTAAAGCGAAACCAATATCTGGGGGTCTCTTGGTACTATCTTTAGACATTTAGACATGAAACATGGTAACTATAACTATGATGTAGGATATATAAACGGTCAGGGGGCCTCACAGTCACGACATTGTAGCAATTAACCAACAGGAAGCGGCGTGGGTCGGAGTGCTGATGGATGCACCACCTATGAAATGATGCTATTTGTAACGATAGACAATCTCTGTGCCTCCAAAAGATTCCAAACATGTAGAATTAATTATCATCTAAAGTCTATATACTCCCTTTCTACCAGTATCATCAACTACACATATTCTCGTCAACACTGTACATGTTTCCAGCCCGCCGTTCCTGAAGAACGCCCAATCATCATACCAATACTCCTGCTAGTACTGTCCGATGGATCCATACCTCTGTAA